CACACACACACACACACACACACACACACACACACACACACACACACGTATAAATTCATACTAAGAATTCCATTAAGTGCATATTCCCCAGTGCTATACATTCAATAAATACTCAGTTACATCTCCGGCTAATTACATTCAAGCTTTCCACATCACTAGAATCGTTATTTGTTTTTTTAAACAGAAGCTTAGTTTCTGTAGCAAATTTTGTAACATCCAGAAAACTAGTTGGAACCCTAAATTTGAAAATGGAGTAATGTTCTGTATATGGAATGTACAATTCTCATTACAGAAATTGTGTTTCAATGCTTGCTGTCTTTTAAATATGATTTTAAATGTGTATATGCTTAATAAAAGTAGGCCTGCTGAAATCTTTAAGCACAATTATTTCTTGTTCAAAAGAATCAGGTTTTTAACATGACATATATGTTATAAAATGTACACCTTTAAAACTTTAAGATGGTTGGGCAACCACTAAATGACTCAAAACAAACTCATTTTCACGTGTGCCCAAAATCCAGGTTAACCTCTTTGCAGCAATGCCACTGAGTTTGGCTAAAAGGTTACTCCAAGTTCAAGTAGTGAATTACAGAAAAATAGTTACTGTACCAGGTTTACTATGTGGCATTTCTGGCATGGCACTGGCAGATGCTTTAGGTTTGGAAGGAATGTGTTGTGGTTCATATGAAACTGAAAGAAAAAAAAGCCCAGTTCATAACTGAATTACTGCATGCATCATTATTCAGACCACAGAAAGCATAGACTTGAAGACTACTCTGGAGCAACAATAACTTAAAAGACTCCAAAAATCAGACTGTAGTTAACATGCATGTTTTTTTTAAAAAAAGGTGAGAGGGAAGTATTGCAGTTAAATGTTTAGAGTAGCTAGACAAAAACAGCAGGAATGCCTAGCCCTCTGCCAAAACAAGGAGTTCCCATCTCTATTATAAACTTATCTTGCCACCAACCAATCAACATTCTCTTCATCCAAGTCCTGTACTCTTGTGGTAAGCTGGACCTAAATTTTGTGGCAAAGTTCCCGGATTCTGCAGCACTCTGGTGTTGCGGACAGGAAATTTTGCAGGAACTTCTTTTAAATTACAGAATTGATGGGTTTAATGAATTCAATATGAAAAAGACTAATACAGTCAGTACAGAAGTTGCCGAGTTATTTATTTTGAGATTAAATTCAAATTTTAGGCAGTCCACACTTTTTCAGTTTTGATACACCAAAGACATTGCTACTGACAACGCCAGGTAGGAAGCTGGAAATTTTGGCAACTGGGTAGGTGGCAATTAGGGCCTCTGGCAGCAGTGGAAGCATGGGAGGCAGTTTGTGATTGTGTGATGAGCACATTAGTAGGATGTTTCTACTAAATGAACATCAGTGAAATAGTTACAGTAGCCATTTAAGTTATCATATTCACGTTCCAGTCATTGCCTAGCACGGCAAACTGGGTAGTCTGCACCTCTCAGAGTTGTTGTTTTAGGGTGTCTGCAGACTAAGGGCCTGTCTATATTGGGAATATCTGTATCAGTGCAGACCCTGAAGTAGCTATGCTATGTCAATGTAAAATGCAGCCTGCACCAGTGTAACACATCTACACTGGCAGTTTGCACCATTGTAGCTACACCTTAAATATTTCCAATATAAGCAGGACCTCAGTAAGATAACCCGGCATTGATTTTACGTTCTCATAATTTTTCCAAGATTTTCTTCAAAACCACAAAGGCTAGAAACAAATTTCATTAATGTAATGAAAGGTTAGATTCTACAGAATCTACTGCCTGGGGTAGATTCTGCAGCGAACACCAAAGCTGAGAAATCACAGGATACACATCTTCATTAATGTTTGTAAAATGGCTTAAATATGTAAAGCACTAAGTATTATCTATCCCAAAACTAACTACGTCATTCTTATATTGCTGCAATTGTTGTCACAAGTGGCACTTGGGACATTTTGATGTATAGAGCCTTGACATGATGACAGCATTATTACTTGGGAAAAAAACCCCAATATCACCTCTGTTTAATTCCTGCAAGATGTTTAATTTGTTAAACTGAAATTAGAATAGAAATAGGCCTGAACTGAAATTCTGAATCCAAATCCAGATCCCAAGCCAAATATCAGAGCTGAACTCTCTCTCTATATAAAGGTCTGAATGTCCCCAGAATCTTGGGAGGTTTTGAATCCAAACCCAGAACTGGATTGGAATTTCACAACTAGACCTCAAGAAAGCAATTTAAAATACAAGCCCGGACAACCTGCAAACTTTCTGGTCTTTGAAATCTGGATCTGAATTGGTTCAGATACATTTGTATCTTGTTGTAAGTTTTATTCCAGGCCTGCACACAAATGAAACCAATGATCTATAATGCACTAGGATATGATCGTGCTTCCACTGGGAAAATACACCCCTGTCCAGAGGGCCTGCACCGGGTCTATATATAATTCAAGTAGCACTTAAACCCTAGTACAAGGATTTTAGTGGAACGTGAGAGATACGTAAGGCCTTGCATGGGTCTTTTGCACAACAGTGAATTTCATCTTTATTGCATAACTGTCATGAATGAGGTCTCCAGTCAACTAAAGGAAAATCGACTACTTCTTGGGTAAAGTATCAGAATTGCTCAGCTTGGTTTTATGATTCTTGCACTTAATTTGTTCATTACTCATTATGAGATGTTACTGTTGCCTAATCTGAGGTACTGAGGACTATTTTTATTAATCATTTAGGATTCAATATTGCTGCCATTGCAGTCAATGGGATTTCTGCCACTGGTTTAAATGGGAATAAGATTTCACCCTTAACAAGTACAAGAAAAAGCTCTTGGACACATCCTGGGCACATATGAACACAGGATGGGATTTCTTCATGATCATTTCCCAAGTCACAGCTTCAGTACAATGAAACCAAATTCCTACAAAGAAAAGCAAAAGGAAAGATGAACAGCAGAAGAGGAGATGGCAGCACCAAACCAACTCGTATCTAAAAGCAAAGTGAAATTCAGTGATTGGTTATGAATATGAAAGCATGAAATGCCCTTTTAGAAGATGAAAAATTCCTCCTTGATGAAAAGGAAAAGCGAAGAGTTGACAATTCACTAAGGAAGAAGATTAATATCATTACCCATTGTGGATTTCGGATGTTCAAGAGTCTTAGTAGTAGCAGTAATAGAAGAAATCTTAATAGTGACTGGCACTGGAACAGGTTTCCTGGTTGCTGCTGGAGTAAAGGACATTATCTTGAGAGAGATGAAGGCAGATCTATACCTTTTAAACTGCTGCTGTCTGATATGCGTACTTGGACATCAAGATTTTGGGACAAATACTCTACAGGATGACTCAAACCCTATCTTAACAGTGATGCTTTTGGGAAGGTTTTTGTCCATTGCTGATGCCCACGTATTGTTCAAATGTGAACAATACGTTCCCCACCCACCCACCGGATCTTGTGCCTCTGTAGATTTTCAGTCTGGAACAGCTTAAGTGCATTGTGGGCTAACACACAGCTGATCTCTTTATAATAGCCGAAAATATTTGGGAACCAACGCTTTAATGTAACAGGGTTCTATCATTTACTGTCAAAAATTTCTTCAAATGGAGCAGGATGGCAAGCTCTGTAGGACACTGATGGGACAAGCAAAACCAAACTTTTCTCTTTCAGGCCCTTTTTAGTATATCTTTTACAACTAACACATTTGTTTTGCTTCCCTTCAATTAGTTTAGTTCTGAATATTTGAAGCCAGCCAAAAGGAATATGTCGGTGGCAAACTAGATTAAAACACTGTAGGACTAAATCCTCCTTCCACCTCACCAAGTCTGAATAGCCAGACTTGGCATGGGGACCTGGGTGGAGAGTAATCATTTAGCCCAGGAGTCTGAGTATAAGTTACATCATTCTGCAGCAGCTACTGTTCCTTTCTGTACACCTGCTGTGGCAGAGCTCCTTCTCCGCCTCGGTGGGTTCTGCACTTCCTCTTAGCGGCGGGATGTGCGATTCCTCTCTCCCTGGGGAATTTTCCCCACCTTGTCTGAGCAAGGGTTTCTCCCAGCCTCCCTGACAGGGGAGTAGGAGGGGAGCCTCTTAGTCTCTGGTAACTCCTTTGGGCATAGTGATGGCAGGCTAGATACCCAGTTCAGTAACTCCCCTCTAGCGGGTCTCTTCCACGCAAACCTCTGGGGCTCAGAAGGGCTGTATGCCCTGTTGGGCAGGGTTCCCTTGCTCTCCACCTCTGTACCTGTGAGGTCTCCCAGTAGCACGCCTGCTCCCCACAGCTCCTATTGCGCGCACCTATCTGACTGGAGGGGAGGCTTTCAACAGGTTCTGGCAGGTCCTTGATTGGCTCCAGGTGTCCTAATTAACCTGGAGTAACCCCTGTTCAATTACCAGGGGAAAAGGGATCCTGGGGCTAATATACCTGCCTTCTCCCACTCTCCTATAGCCATCTGGCCTGAGCCTCTCACACTGCACAGTACAGGAGTCACTGGCCCAATCCCCGCTCTCATCCATCTTACCACTGTTCCACCCCACACACTCACTAGCATGGGGATACACAGTGAGCCAACGTGGAGCTGGGCTCTGCAGCATGGAGAGAGCTCCCCAAATCCTGGCCCACTCTCCCCCTTCACCCCCACAGCACGTTATCACATTTAACATCTATTTAAGGGGAATGTGTCTTGTTACTTTTTCTGAGTCTTTCTCAGACCATCTTCTCAGTCTTACTGAAACTTTAAACCCTGTCCCATTCCCCAAAAAAACTAACTATTTAGGGAATTCAAATACGAAAGTGACAAGTTATACTGTAGAAGACAAAATGCAAAATTCTGATTCAAACCTTGTGATTCATTTCTATAAGAGAAAGGAGAATTTTCTACCAAAATAATAATGATGTCAAGATAAAGATAACTCATATAAATACCTCAAAATAGAAAGTATTACTTAATATGCTGCAAAACAACAATCAGGTTAAACCTAGCAAAAGAGAAAAGTGGCATACTGATCCTGGGCCCACTGAAAGCAAGGGTTCCTCTTGCCTTCAATAGTGCAGGATCATGTCCTCAATGAATGAACTGTCAACATGAAATCCTGGTACCACTGACTTTAATGGCTCCAGGGTTTTACCCTCACTGTTGATTTAATCAGTCTCAATAACTGGGTATGGTTTCCTACTTCCACTTCCCATTTTGCTGTTAGAGTAGATTATCTTTTACCCTCATTAGTTACAAATCCAGTACTAAACTGATTGAAATTGTTAGCTAGGAAATATAATTGGAAGAAATCTAAGTCTGTTTCAGGCCACCTGAAAACGCCTCATTTCAGATCTTGCATTAGTCGTTATCATCCCAGTTAAACTGTGTGTGTGTGTGTGTGTGTGTGTGTGTGTACACACGCTTCAGTTTTATCACAGCTAGAATTTCTCCAATTCTCGCCAATGCCAAATTTGCCATGAATCTTTACATACAATTTCAGACACATCATAGTTTAATACTGTCCAGTTATAAATCAAGGGGCTAAAATATTTTTGTTACTATGCATCTTGCTCAAGTACTGATTCATACATATGTTCTCCCCCCCCCCATGGTTGATCCACTTTTCTTAGATTAAATTGAGAGCTCTTTGGGACAGGGGCTGAACAGTACCCAGCCATCTATGGTGCTAGAAAACAAATAAATGGATAAATAAAAAATGATCGTTTTCTTTTTAAATAGGTGAAAGGAAAGGAAAGGAATGAAAACTACAGAGCAGACCTATCTATTGATCTGTGTGTTCTACTTCTAAGGCACATGTCACTCGTCCAAACACCCTACAACAGTCGAGAACCACTGAGCATCCTACCCAAGGGACAGAGTTTCAAAACTGTTGAAAAAGAAAGGAACTTAAAGATAGAGCTGGCGGATTTATTTATTATGAATAATATTCTTTAAAAATGTAGCCCCTTTTTTGATTCACGAGTTGTTCTTTAACCCATCTTCATTTTCTTCAAATGTATTCACTATTTCTAGGTATTCATTGAATACTTTTATTTATTCAAACTATCACACTTTGAGTCATTTGCTGACGCTCTCTTTTGATTCTATGCAGCATTTGGTTTATCACTTATGTCTCATGGCACAGCTTCTCCTTCCTGAATGGATGAAAAACCTTCTAAAACAGGAAGGAATAATAAATAATGCACTCCAACTATGATTTTTTGGACAAGTGATCTTTCCTTTTGAAATTGATGAAGCTTTCAAGATTTGCAAACCTACTCATGAAGATGAGGCAGTTATCTACAAATTTATCAATAATAATAGTTAAAGTTTGCCATACTTGATGGTTTTCTACCTGAAACTATTCATAAATCTTTATTTTAAACACTGTTTACCAACCTGTAGTTTAATGGGACAGTGTTCAGAGTTTTTTCTCCTTATTTATTAATTAGCTACTTTATTTGGTCAGAGTCTGATCTATGTAATAACACTGTAGTTATTCTAACAAAGCAAAATAGAGCAAAATAAAGGCTGGGAGAATAAAGGATTTAGTTTGCAAGACTGCTTATGATGCTAACAGATTTCTACAGTTTCCATGGACACGTGTCCAAAAACAAACAAACAAAAAAAAAACCCATGAGTCAGCATGGTTCAAACAATATGGAACAAAATGATAATAGCAGAGCATACTGTAATTACCCGGTTTTGTCTTGGGTTCTTCTGGATGGAGAGAGACTTTAGGCTTGGAAGGAATTCGTTTTGTTTTACTGGGTGCTGAAAGGAAGAAAGAGGGGAGATTGTAATCCCAAAGTTTTGAGGAAAGGAGAGAGTACTTACCAGTAACTGTTGCTCTTCGGGAGTCACATCTGTACATTCACAATCATGGGATGTGGAACCCCTGGCACGGAGCTGGAGAACAGCCTTGGAAAACCACGTCCACTGTGGTGTATGTTCATGTGATAGCTCAAGTGAGGGTGATGGCATCACCCTACTCTATATATGGAAGTGCATCCAACCAGCCAGATGCCTCAATTCCTTTTCCTAAACTGGAGACCTAATGTTATACAGAACTCTGAGGTTGAAGGGAAGGTGGTTGGGTAGTGTGAATACACAAAGGTAATTCTCAAAGAACAAAAATTACTGCAAAGTAACCTCTCTTTTCTCCTTTGAGGGCTTCTGCATATTCCCACTTGTGGCAGATTAGCAAACATGATGATGGTGGGCAAATTCTTAGATAAATGTTGTCTGTAATAGACTCATAGACTCATAGACTTTAAGGTCAGAAGGGACCATTATGATCATCTAGTCTGACCTCCTGCTTGATGCAGGCCACAAAAGCTGACCCACCCTCTCCTGGAATATTTCTCTCCCTTGACTCAGCTGTTGAAGTCCCCAAATCATGATTTAAAGACTTCAAGTCGCAGAGAATCCTCCAGCCAGCGACCCCTGCCCCATGCTGCGGAGGAAGGCGAAAAACCTCCAGGGCCTCTGCCAATCTACCCTGGAGGAAAATTCCTTCCCAACCCCAAATATGGCAATCAGCTGAACCCCGAGCATGCGGGCAAGATTCTCCAGCGAGACCCGCATTGACACTAATTACCAGCGATGGCACGTTATTGATTTATTGATTAAAATCACGTTATCCCATCAAACCATCCCCTCCATAAACTTATCAAGCTTAATCTTAAAGCCAGAGAGGTCTTTCGCCCCCACTGTTTCCCTCGGAAGGCTGTTCCAGAACTTCTGCTCTCCCAAACCGGACATCAAAGCGCAATGCTAAATCCGAGTACTGTCTGGTGGAAGTGTGCACCGAACTCCAAGTTGCTACTTTGTAAATTTCCACCAGGGGAACCTATCTAAGGCACATCATGGATGCCATGATGCCTATCATAAGTCTTTAAACAAGGGGTACTTGGTTGCAATAATGCTCTATACAGCTCCTAATCCCAGGGTGAAACACTCTGTTTGGTAACAAGTTCTCCCTGACATCTCTCCCCTAGGCTAAAAACAACCCAGTAGAACTTTTAAACAGCTCAGTCTTTTCCATGTAAAACCAGAATGTCCTTTTTATATTTTGAATATGGAGATGTGATCCCAATGGGGCCTGGGGAAGAACACAGGAAGGAAAATACATTGAGATAGGTGGTAATCTGAGACCATCTTTGGCATGAAGCTGTGATGGGACCTCCTGGTGACCTTGTCCTTGTGACCAAAGGTAGTGCTGAGACTGGAGAGACAAAGTGTATCTTGGGTCCCGTGTAAGAGGATCTCAGCAGAGGTTGGTATCGGTACTCTCAATGGGCCCAATTTAGTATCAGGCTGTAGGATCCCTGGTATGACCAGTGGGCAAGAGGTGCAATACTTGAAGCCCTTTCAGGGCTCTGTGTGGTCCTGATGAGACTCCCAGGATAAGAGCAAGCTGTTTAGGTTAAGGTATCCTATACTACGCTACACTAATTACAAGAAAGTAATAAAACAGACTAAGGAAAGATCTAACCTGAAGGCACGAAGGTGAGTTCCATTTGCTCTCTGCTGTTGCGGGGAAAGGAACTGAGGTGGTTGGGGGACTGCATACTTTTCTACAGAGTAGGGTGATGATGTAACCCTTGACTGTGATCTCTAGTACAGCCTCCCAATCAACACAGCTCTTCAAGCCAGTTCCACAGCTCAATGCCAAGTCTGCCAAATCCCACAAGTGGTAATGCAGAAAGGTCTTGGGAGAACACAGGGTTTATACCAGAAAGACACAAAAGAGAGTTTGTGCATGCCTAAGTCTACATGGGGCAACAGTGGCACAATGGGGATACTCACAAATTGAAAGGCACTGTATAAAATGACTATTGAGAAGGCAAAACAAACTTGTTATGTAGTTGGGTGCAAGGGAGAATGTGTCTCCTAAAAGCAGCTCTCCAACTTCCTGTTCTTTTGTGAAACTGGAGAATGTTCTAGCATTAGCAAGAAGGAAAGCGATTAACACAGGTGAGCACAACGGCTGACTATGGTGGGATTAGCAGAAAGCACACTTTTCATGTAGGCTACACATCTTTATTGCCCCAAATACCATAAAGATTGTTTTCACAAAGAAGAATGAAGATGCACATCTTCAGTGGCTTGTAGAGCTGGTTGGAAAATAGTCACTGTTGCAGAAATTTTTGGTTTCCATTGAAATTTGGTTTTTTATTACATTTTCAAATCGGCTCCAGGGCAACAGACAAACACCTTACCAGAAATAGGATAGAGCTTCAGGATTAGCAATGATAGCTTCAAATGGTCTTCAGGCACTTTTGAAGTAATCTGACCTGGCTCTTTGGGAAGTCAGTGCCACAGTGCACAGAGTCTACATTAATTTGAAGCATCTTGAGTAGAAGCATTTGGACTTCAAGGAAAGAAGACAACCACCACAAGTCCTAATTTTTGGTCAATTTCTAGTGACACTGGGATACTAATGGGAGCTTGATCCATAGGCATCATGCCTCCTGGCTAAAGGCCAGATTGTGATCCTCTTACATTGAATAGTACCTTATTCCTCAAATAGTCACATCTGAATAAGGGAATCCCTATGGAATAAATGCGGAATTCACAATAATCTATATAGAGAAGGGAAGATGGGGCAAATCATTCAAAGTTCAGTGATGAATAGATAGTTATTCTCAGGATCCCATCTGGACTAATCAGCGAGAGTAGTAATAGAGAGATGATAGACTAGATACACTTGCACAAACATGCAATCATACCGATTTCTCTGTAGTTAAATGGAAAAACAAAGTGACCATGCACTGTGGAAACATTATTACCTAGTGTTGTCCTTGGCAGTTCAAGGGTGTTAGAAAATTTAGGTGTATTGCTTTCCAAATGAATTGCTTTTTCTGCTGATGAAAAAGAAAGAATTTAGAGATACATACATGGAAAGTAGCAGCATCTCTAGAAGAGATAGACAAAATTGTCTTAATAATACAAGAGTTAATTTTGAACAGTGCAAAAACCTTTCTAAGGAGTTGTAGTTATAGCGAAAATGTTTTAAAAGTTGGCTCATAATAACTTATGCAATTCCAAGACTTAAATACCACTAAGTTAACAAGCTTCAGTGGGAACTATTTGTCTTGAAGTGGGTAATTTAACTAGCAATACTGGAAAGAATTATAATAATGTTGCTTGGACTCTTACAATACTGTTTAAATAATATCTCATTACACTATAAAATTATGTATCTTTTTAGCTTTATGCCTTCATTATAAACCATGAATTTTTAAAATGTTTTCATGGCTTTATCTTTGTTCATGCAACTCCAGACAAGTCTGGGGATGCGTGTGATATTTTCTTTCCTTTGACCTACATCACAGGTTAAATTCAACCAAGGTGTAAAAACATGGTGCAGTTCGACTGACTTCATTTTGTATCCACCTGCTTATCTCCAGGCCTGAGTTTCACCCCTCACAGTTCTACAATTTTTGATAAGCCTCAACACATGCTAACTATCACTGCATCTGTACTCACCCTATAGCAACAGTTGAAATGGTACAGATTGGTAACCTATCCTCAAAAGCAAAGCAAGAGACTTTTGATTAAGGGACTTTTAAATTTATGGGACAACCGGGGTCCTGTAGAGCAAGCGTTGGCCAATTCATGATTTCAGGTGGAAACCATGTAAAAACTTGATTCCAACCCCAAGCCCCGTGCAACTCGGTGATTTGAGCTAAGTTTTGCTTCAAGCTTTTTTTTATTTTTCCAAATTAACATTCCAAGTGTAACTCAAGGGATGCAAACCAACACTTTGCATAATCCTCCTGAGAACTGAATCTGCTGAATTTCACATAGGATGCCTTTAAAACAAAATACATTAAATTACCAAAAGTTATAAATTATTATAATGCTTGGCATGGAATGCAATTACCAGGTTTAGTTCGTGGCATTTTGGGTCTGGCAGATGGTTTAGGTGTAGAAGGAACAAACTTTTTTTCCCAGGGAGCTGAAAGAAACAGACTAGATTATAAGATTTTTCTTTTAATTCTTTTCCTTAGAAATGGAATCACATTCCTCAAGCCTGTGGTGAAGCAGTGATACTTCAAAATGGCTTCTGGAAAGAAAATCAGTTTTAAAAAAGGCCTCGCAAAACTGTCACGAAAACTTACTTGCCCAGGTACAAAAATGATTAATTTGCCCTTTACTATAATGATTGCTAAATAATTAAAATATCTAATTGTGTTTTACTTGTTCATCAAAAAATTATTCTGGGCAAGCTATGAAGTTGAATTTTGCAAGACAAGTCTAAAATATATAATATATATTATATTGTATATATTCCTGAGTTGCCGATCAATTTTATGCAACTGACCAATTTAACTAGATGAGGTTTGAAAAGGTAACATGAATTCTTAGAACTCTCAGCAATTCAAGAAGAGAAAGATTCTGGCACAGGTAGAAAGCCACGAAACGAACAACATGCAAAAGTGGGATTATCTCACAACTGCAGCCCCTGGATTCTATTTATAAAAAAGCAGCACTGATTGTAGGAATGGGGGAAATATTGGTAAGACTAAGCAGTTCTGCAAACCCTGAAGCTGTCTTCCCATAATTGCAGGGGTTGAAACTGTAGTTAGCCAGTTGGTATGCTAGCTTAAGGCCTTATGCTGGGAGGCAAAGTCTGTGAAAGTTGAAGGTGACCAATCAGTACCTCAGAAGACATGACCATTAATTTTGCCTATTTTATAAAACAAAATAATGAGGCTGCTTCCAAGATAGATTCAGGAGGAAGAGCTTCATTGCCATAAACAGAGTGGCAATGAACTCCTATGAATAAGTATATGTGAATTCACTGAGAAGAGGTTTTCAAGCCTAAAGGATTATATGACAGATACCTAGAAGCAGGATAAAGACTAATGAATATTTCTAGTGCCACAAATAGATCTCCTTAGAGAATATTAGGTTTTTTTAATGTAAAGAAAAAATCCAAAACTTTCCTTTGAGAAAGTCTCCTTACCCACCTTTGCACTTAGCCTGTCAATAGTTACTTTTGACATATGCTGGAGGTGAGTGGGTGGTTGTCTTTTTGTGTGTGATCTCAACAATTCTCAAACAATGAAGGCAAATTCTGTTTACAGAGATGCACATATGCCTCCTATTGAATTTATTCAAGGACAGATATTTTATCCTTCAGTAACATTGATAAAAACCACTATTCTGTGGACAAACTCAATTTAGAAATGAAACTAAGCTCATGAATGTGAGTTTGGGTCTGTTCTTACAGTATTTCTCTCCTAACAATTCTCCTGTATAAAAGAAATAGATCCAGAAACAGAATGAAGTTGGCATGATTAGCAGTGATAGTATGAAATGGTCTTCAGTGATGGAATTCTAATGATGGCTTGAACAGAAATACAGATTGACATACAGCTACTGAAACTTTTGTTACCTAGTGTCGCCTTTGGCCTTTCAATAGTCTTTGAAGCTTTAGGTGTACTATGCTCCCAAAGTGGTGGCTTTTGTGCTATAAAATAAAAAGAATCCAAGCATAATTGAATAGTACAATAAAGAACATCAGTAATAAGTTAAAGATGTGGGAGGTTTAAAAGAGCTCATCTAGTATTTCCTACATTCCTTTTTTAGTATAACATTAAGTATACAAAATAATAGAACATAGATTGGATTGTTGAACATCTGGTAACGTATGATCACCAGTACTTGGATCGTGAAGGGGGCACTTCCCTCTTTTGATCTTGAATAGAACTGTGACAGGGATCCAACTGTTTCTGATCAAAAAAATAGCATCACAAGACAATGGTTATGTCATCAAGACCATACGGCAAGATCCAGCACACAACTATGGACCTCGTAAGGGGCTCCCCTTCTATCAATCACAGCTATTTTCACTGAAAGGAAACTCCCCCATCATGACATCCTAGAAGCAAATGAGTAGAATGTATGAGGCATCAACATTGTGCTGGGACTAGCGATGTGTTGTATATACCTCATAATTGTACACAGCAAGGCAGAAGTTAAAAATATAGTTAAAAACACAAGCAAAAAGTATTCCCAGATTTTTTAAGTAAGCTATGAAATTTTGAAAATTCTTTGCATTTTATCACCAAACTCATGTTCAATAATCTGATGATCTTGAGTCTTGCTCGGTATGGATCAGATGCCTGTATTCTGTTTGCTTCCTTTGTAGCAACACCATAGGATATTTTTTAAAGTATCTTCCTGATATATTGAATTGTATAAATGGACTACTTAATTACCAGGTTTCACATGCTGCACTTCTGGAAGAGGAGATGGTTTCAGTTTAGAAGGAATAAGTGGTGCTTCATTTGGAGCTGAAAGAAAGAGCTTGGTTTATAACTAACTACTTCAGGAATCATTTAAGAAACCGCACATGCCACAAGTTTGCAATGAAGAAGGAATAATTCAGTATGGAACGTGAAAGTCAGCTGAGGACATCGGCAGTCAAAAGGGGGTCAGGATGGAGTATTAAATTGTTGTGCATTAATCAGAAATAAAGTCAATGTTCCAAAGATGGCTACAATTTTAACAATTAAAATCATAGACATGAGGGAGATAGACGATAAAAGGATGATGGAGTTCTCCATGCAAGTTTCATAGCTGATAGTTTTACTGCTTTAAGAATAGTATCACTAGCATCAACTATATTCCTACAGAGAAGTGAATCAAAAGGTGTTAGTGTCTTTGGTGACACAGGAAAAACAAGAATCTAGAAGTAGGATAAAGGTTAATGATTCAATGCATGAAATGATTTTATGGAAGAAATGCATTCATGTGGGATGGGATGTTCTCTGATTAAACAGACACAGTGTGACCATTCACTGTGAAAACAACATTACCCAATGTTTCTCTTGGCCATTCAAGAGGACTAGAAGTTTTAGGTGAGAAAGATTCCAGAGTGGGTTCACTTGTTGCTGCTGGAAGAAATGTTGACAGTTACAAGAGAGAAAAGAGCTTATGGAAGAAAAAAGTTGCTTCATGGGTAAAACAATTTTGTTCTACAAGAAAAACTGAAGTATTCCACTGATTCTTGGACATTATTTTCAGTTTACCAGTTTAGTATATGTTAGAGATGAGCTCAGCTTTTTGAATCGCACTGTTATGGTAACCATAAATCATGGTATCTGTGAATGTGCAGAGATTTTGGATGTTTATTTAATTCCTTCCTGCCTTCACAAAAATAAATTTGGACTAAATTCTCACTATCTGAATCATTACCAGGCATCAGATTTCTCTGATCCTCACATGGCTTACCTTGTTATTTTGAGTTATGTTGCCGCACTTACTAAGATGGCATGAAGTAACACAAAGGAATAGAATAAAATGGACATGTTGTGCTGCCAATTACTCAAATACTGACAACAGATGGTATTTGGTCCAGAAAGCTGACAACTGATCCAACTATTGTCACAGTTCTGGAGAATCAGGTGTTCAATTAGTTAAATAACTTAATGCACCTAGGATATACTTTTCCTTCATATAAAAATTATAATAGTTCTACAGTATTTGTCTACAACTTTACCATCTACAACATAATGTTAATAGAATGTTTTGAATAATTATTACAGAATACAATAGTACTTTTTAATATTTGTTTCATAGTGTTATCCATGCAGCGTATCTTTCAAATTACTGACAGGAAAACTGACTGGTATGAGTTGCCACACACAACATAGTTGTGAGACAACACAAGTTAATGCCAGTTTCTCAACAGAAATACTATTTGGATGCTTGTTAAAAATTCAACTCTAAGGGCCTGATCCAAAGTCCACTGAAATCAATTATAAGACTTCCATTTATCTCAATGGGGTTTATATCTGACCGTGAGCCACTGAATAGTAAAGACTGTGTAATAATTATTGTACCTGGTTTGAGATCTGTTCTATCAGGCTCATCGGATGTTGTGGGGTTTGAAAAAACAGGATGAGTATCACTGAAAGCTAAAAAAAGAAATGGGTAATAATGTTTATTGTTTTTTAAAATTTAGATTTTTATCTTCTGAGGTACTCAGTTAAAACTCAGTGGTCCAGCCAATCTAATGAGTGAGCATATCTTACATTAGCAATGGAGCAGTGCTAATAAGGAATGAGATCTAAAGGTCAGCAATTAAAATTACAGTTCAAATGGAAACACACACAATGCAGTGAAGGCTAATGTTTACTCAGGTGGTTCATTTCATAGGTCTTTAAGCACCCTGGAAAGTACAAAGACAAAAAAGCTTCTGACGCAATCTTCTAGGATTCTATGAGCATCAAGTATTCAAGGAACAATGGCAATAACGTGTCTTTAGAGCTGGGCAAATATTGCAAAAAATATTTCTGCAAATAGTTGCTTTAATTCGCACCTCATTAGTGCTTTGCTTTCTCTGCACATTCTGTGATGGAGTTTTACCAACACAAATGTTAATAGAAAGGAAGCAATATCATGTTAATTATGTAACAAATTATCAGGGCCGGCTCTAGGCACCAGCCGACCAAGCACGTGCTTGGGGCGGCACCTCAGAAGGGGCGGCCAATGTTGGGGTGGCGGGGGGCGCTCAAGGGGTTTTCTTTGTTTTGTTTTTTTTGTTTCGGCCGGGCAGAGCGGGGGTGTTTCGGTGGCGCGGCGCTGGGGGGGGCGGGGGCTTTGGCGGCGCGGCGCGGGGGGGGGGGGACGACGGGGCGGCGCTCTTCTTTTTTGCCTGGGGCGGCAAAAAAGTTAGAGCTGGCCCTGAAAATTATGTAACTAAGACACTTTGAATAGTGCATATTCACAGCGAAATGTTTGTGACCAATCCATAAAGTTAAAAAATAATAGCCATCAAATTTTTGAACAATTTTCAATTAAGTGTGACCCGCTCATGGATACTCTACAAGCAGAAAAAGAAATGATTAATTCATCAGATAGATAATTCATTGCAAATTATTTCCTCAGCTCTATGCATGATTCACCAGGTTTCATCAGTTACATGAGAGTTAATAAACAAACAAACAAGAACACCCCAGTAACTGCTCTTGACACTGACAAACAAAAATGTCCCAACAGGTGACAACCTTAGTAGTGAAACACAGACTGGATGTTGGTTCCTTTAAAAAATAAAATAAAAAAGCTGTGAGTATAGCTGTGAGATTTATTGATGACAATCAGCATGAATTATTGGTATGGCAGATGACTAAAACAAGGAAAGACTCCCAGAATTAGCTGTGATGACAAAACCAAAGAGTTTAATTAAAGAAAGAAACTGGATGTGTCATTATTACCCATTGTTGTTCCTAGCACATGAGGTATTCTGGAAATTAGAGGCACAGATGTTTCCAGGTCAGCGCTATTTGTAGCTGCAGGGAAAAAAAGGAAACAAATCTGAGATGTGGCCTCATAGAGTGTAGTGAGGGGTGTCTGTGTGGGGAAAGTAAGACAGAGATTACATTACATTCCTTTGCAAGGGCCTAACAATGCAGTAGATGTTACATAAGTAGATTCAAGGGCCTTTTGGCACCCAGGTAAGAAACTCATTTAATAAAGTTTTGCAAAAATGTCATTATCTTAGTATATGCTGTAATTCTTTATAAATAGGTTCTGCAAAGTAGTGTGCAACTGTGTGCCCACATTTGCCTTCAACTATATCTAAAGCAACAGACTGGTTCCTTATGCTACACCTTTGCATAAAGGGCTAGAATAAGGTTTAGAATTTCTATACTAAACACTGCATTTTCCAGTTATAGGTGCCCCAGTGTAGCTCTTCATGAAATTACTTAGCACTGGTAGTTTTCTATGTGCAGGTGGTTTTTTCTTTCATGCCGGACTTGTGTCCCTGGTATGAATTAATTCAGTTTAAAATCAATCACCAGAAGCAGACATGCATGAACACACATGATGCAAATGACAGTGATTGCTGAAATCATAGTAAAAATACCACCAAAGATGTAAGAAAATATTATTGACAACCAGAAAGACAAAAGTATAGATGAAAGATGAAAAGGCAGATGAAAGGAGATGAAACTTTGTAGACAAGCTGAGTGACAGGCTGAGAATTACTTGTTGTCTAGTGAGCCACGCACAGGACTGGAAGTCCTGATTCTGAAACAGACTCACTCTAAAAAATGTATCCCTAGAAAATTGCTGAAGAGAACAATCATGCACTGGCACATGGGAGGATGATTTACAATAGGTTCAATCCTTCAGTAATGTATTTGGTCATATGATTCTCTGTGGGCTTGGGAAATAACAAGCCACTCTGCCTTAGTTTTCTCATCTCTAAAATGGAAATAACTACCTGACAGAGGTGCAGTGAGGATTAACTAGCTAATGCTTGTAGCTTTGTTGGCACAGTATTGTAGTACTATGAAATATGTTATTAAAAGCTGTTAGACTTAGACCGGAGCCGTTAATGGGCATGTATGCAAGAGATGAAGGAAATTAATACCTCCAAATGATATAATATTCTCCACTCTCCATATATGTTTGTAGGAGAAAGAGATATTGTTCAGCATAAGTGGATAACACAAAGTTAATATGTTCTTTGACACAGTTTTAAATGTAATCTACAAAGAAAAAAAATCAACCTGGTCTGTTCCCTTTATTTCTTTATGATGTAACAAGCCTGAAACACTCCCTCCCCTAACATAATGAGCAAACAAATGTATTACTTGTATTTTACCTGGCAAATAGGAATATCAAGTCTTGCCTTCCCTGTTTTTGCCTGAGGACTCTTGAGCTGCATGTGAGCTCTCTCATTACTTTCCTGAATGGCACGGGGTGTTAAATCTTTAACAAAATGGGTTTTCTTCTTCAGTGTTTGCCAGGAGTTTAAGTTAAAGTTTAAGTTAAGGTTTTAACAAAAACAAACCAAAACGTTTTAAACTGAGAAAATAGTATTTCCCCTAAACTGTTCAGGGTTCATTTCCAGGGTGCTAGTGGTATCATAACTAGAATAATTGTCCTGCCATCCATACAACAGTTTTCCGGGGAGGAGGGGGGAGTTTAAAAGACCTTCATTTCTAATGCTAAAATAAGCAGGGGGAAAAAACTCTTTTTTGGGGGCAGGGGAAAACTTTCAGACCTTCTTCATATATTTTACAAACACCAGCAAAACCAAAACTTCTTTTGCAGCTAGCCTTTAATGAACAGACATAGAATCAAGGATGTAACTCTAGTGTAAAGGCAGATATCACCATGTGAATGGAATGGGACCTATAACTGAAAGCTGAAGAAAACAACAAGACACACTACTTCCAGAAAAATCTTCCCCTCAGAACCCAGTTGGCTGGCTGTTTTCTCTATCTAGGCAAGTTTCTAGTGTACTGTAATCCATGTAAACTTTAAATATAGTGACAGTACTATTGCCAGGGGAAGCTAATGACTAGCATACTCAGGGAACTCAGAGCTCTGAAGTTACCAAAGGAAAAGAAAGATGAAAGTAAACTTGTCTGTATGCTAGAATATAGGCAGGGAGAAAGCTGTGGACTATCTGGGTAAGTCTACACTGCAAAGTAAAACTGCGGCACTGCCTCTGAGCCCAGGTCAATAAAAATAGCAATGTAGACATTCCTGCTCAGACTGGAGCCTGGGCTGAGACCCTCTCCTTTGCCAGGTGCCAGACAGCACAGATGTACCCTCTAATGCTGCAAAATAGCGGATAAAAGTCATTGTGGTCCCAGACTTGGGCTGAAACTTAAGGTTTACAAGTGGCCATGGTAACAAGTATTGTAAAGTTTATCATTGGTTGCTTAGCTCAATTAGTTAGAGCAAGGTATTAATAATGCCAGCAACCAGGCAGCAATCCCCACAATGTCTGCAGCTTTGAAAAAGAGACTGGTCTTGTGGTTAAGGCACAAAGAAAACACAGAAGGGGCAAAGAAGATCTGGGTTCAACTTCTTCCTATACCATAGACTTTCTGGGTGACCACAGAAAAAAAAATCACTTAATCTCTCAGTGCCTCAGTTTCCCATCTATAAAATGGGAATAATATTTCCATTCTCCCACCTCTGGTCTGCCTTAGCTGTTTAGATTATAAACTCTTCGGGGAACAAACTGTGTTTTATTTTATATATATATATATATACACACACACACATATGCAACGGCTACCATAATGTGGACCCAATGTCAGCAGGGTCCTCTATGTATTACTATAATACAAAAAACATCCACAAGTCTGAGGAGGAAAAGGGAGATGCCAATAGATCAGACCTCATCACTTCTAATGCCATGAAACTGCACAAAAATCCCCCACAAAACTAAAGAACAAAAAACCCACAATGTATCATTAATGTTTTTAATGGTTTGCCAACAATGTGTTTTTCTGGGTTTGTGAAACAGCAACGTGTTTTTCTTTTTTACATTAGGTAAAATGTAGTTTCTGTACATGGACAACTATCATTTTTCACAGTTGAATCCTCAGCAGGCAAATAATTAGTAGTTTAGCACAATTTCAACACAAATATTTTAACTACCTATACTTTTTACCTGAAGAAAGAGCTCTATGTAGCTCATATGCTTGTCTCTTTCATCAACAGAAGTTGGTCCAATAAAAGATATTACCTCACCCACCTTGTCTCTCTAATATCGCAGGACCAACACAGCTACAACAATAGCACAAACTACATTTTTTACACTCATTTTCAAATCCTGCAAGATGGACACTCATTCCTACTTTTCATCTATGCAGAGAATTTTTGCAACTGGGTGGGCTGGACTTGTTGAAACAAACACTTAATCCAAACCACATGCAAGCTATATGTGTAAAACTTGACATCTTTAAACTATTTAATAGTCAACAAATGTTACTTATCCACAAAAACCTCTCTATATCACAAAGACAAAAACATGATTAGGGAAGGAAACTCTCTTAAAAGTTATTTTTCAGTTGATCATTCACACAAGGTCAACTGAAAAATAACGGTGTTGGTTATCAACGTTAATAAGAAGCAAGTATGCTAAAGGGTAGCTGTTAACTACACCATAGTTAAATTTCTGTGTAAAAGTGTATTTTCAAAGTGCTGTAATATATTTAGGGCCTGATTAACCATTGCTTTACTACAGTTTTACACTGAAGTAACTCCATGGAGTTACGATGGCATAAAACTGGAGTAACATAGTAGTGAAGGAGGCCCATAGAATGGAAGAGCTCAAGAATGGATAGGTAGGCTTAAAGATTCAATATTTGATAGTAATGCCTGATCATTTATTTACTAGCTCAGTGATCAGTTTTTTGCCACTACCACCAAATTACATGAGGTTATTAAAAAATAGTAGCTAAACATCCCTTCTTCAGGGGAAAAATGGCAAAGCTGGTGCTTTAGTGCAGCACTCATCACCTTCTGGATCTGGTTTGAAAATGCAAGTCAACACCAGCAGCCCATAAACAAGGAATCAGAACTCACTAGGCTAGATGTTCCAAAGCAGTCTTGTAAATGCAAACAATTGCAAATGCGGACTACTACCTTCTAGTATCAAATAGTCTGATACCAAGTTCTAAATTAAGCATTGATATCATATTAGTATTTTGTCATTTGTTCAATTCCCTCAAAATATGCGAACATTTTTATATTTGGCCATCCATGTTTTATTTAAAATGAAAAATGCCAGACAGGATCACAGTTTCATCTTCTCCCCTATCCCCACTCTCTTACATGGTGCAAAATGTATGACCCACTGTAAAAAGAGCATGTGTATGAGTCTCTGCCATGCAGAACAATTTAACAGTGGAAGTTAGAAGTTTGTGCCATTCTGTCAACATGCGGAGAGGTTCATTACTGAGCCTCTAAGCCTTTAAGGTTAGAGACGTGTATATTTTACACTCATAAATGATTGTTCTCAATGAGGGGCATTGACTCCAATTTCCAATTGAATAATAAATTAAATTAATTAATTCCTTGGTTTAAAAGTCATGCATTGCCTGCTCCAAATTTTGAACAAGGCTCAATCCTGCAAGCTGAGCAAATGCTATGGTAATAAGCATGGCATAAAACCTTAAACACAGAGAAGTGAGGAGTGCCCATAACTCTCACTGCAACAGTCGGGGTGGGGTGTGGGTTTGGGTAGAGCTCTGCACCTTGCAGTAACAAGCTCTGAGGCCCTTTATGCCCTGCTCTTTATCAACCATACACATTCCTAGAGACGCTCTAAGAGTGGAATTCTATAAAAAAACAACCACCCCTAGAGAAGAATATTTAAAGACACCGTCATTCATTTGGTGCAGTAAGGTCAAGAGAAGTGGTGGGCGGCACAAGATTGCTTAATAACAGATTATGAGCCTTTAGAGAACAATGGGCTGTAATTACTAGATATGGTTAGTGCCTTTTCTGAAGTTTTGGATCTTGAAGGAAAAAACTGCATTTCTCACAGGGTTGAGAGAAAAACTAGATTACAGTTTCAGAGATCATAACAGAATGCTTTGTTGAGCACAGAAAACATATGCCATCAACTTAGTGACAAAGCGGTTGGTCAGCTGCTAAGTCTTCTTTTACATTAAAAGTCAGTACATTCCACAGTGCAGTCTAATGGCAGCAACTTGAAATTGCCTCAAAGGTTGGATGGAATTCTCAGCTTTAAAAGGAAATAGAATATTCTGTTCACACAAAGACAACAGACGTGCACGGTCAGAACCATAAGCATGGGTACAGCTGCACGCTACATGTGTTCAGTGTGTTCTGGAACAGATGACTGATTAAGACATTTCATAATGTGTCTGAAAAAGGGAAATAAAAGAAGTGTAAAGAATAAGCTTTGACAGTATGAACGGGAGCTGAACTGAATTCTGTGGTATAGAAAACTAAAAAAAATACGATACTATACACCGAGAAAACATGATCCTCATTTACCAACTTCTGCTTTACTAGCTTCAGGTGTAACAGGTTTTGGAGTTGTTTGAATAGTTACTGTAAGAAAAAAAATAAATCTATTTGAGACTGTCAGATCCTATTGTACACCTCACAAATAATTTCTTTATATAGTTGCCATTTTGTATTGCTATGTAGTTTAACAAAATTGCATTTAAGCGTTCTGTACAGTAAAGAATGGGACACAATTGCGGATTACACTTTTTTTCAAATGCAAACGGCCTTGGAACTAAGGAAGCCATAATTAGTGACATTATAGCCAACCTTACAGGTTATGTGGCATCAACTGTGATAGATTTATTTTCAAATAAAAGCTTTAGATCTGATTCTCCACTACTTTGCACTCTGTGCAGTCATTTGTCCCTGTACAAAGTACATGTAACATACCAATATGCGAATTTGTTAGCTTTTTAACCCCCTTTGCACTCATTTTTCACAGGGGAAGAGGGCTACACAAGGTAATTTAGTAGAGAATCAGGCCCTTACTCTGTATTCTACATTTTATTGATTTACATACTACTTTTATTATCAAATCACTTTCACAGCAGAAACAAGGCATGAGTTATCTGTGAGATATAGCAGCTTGCTACTGGAGTGAGGTAACTGGTCACTCTGAGCAAAGTTTTCAAACCTGGGTGCTTAAAATGAACATGCAAATCTATATTGAGACTCCTAAAAAAATGGCCTAATTTTCATAGGTGCTGAGCGAATGTAGCTACCACGGATTTCAGTGATATTTGTCGATGCTTAGCATTTCTTCAAATCAGGACACTTAAATGTAGGTGGTGAAACATGGATTTAGATGTTAACTTTAGGTATCTACTGTAAGCCGGGTACAATTTTAAGGCACTAGGATTGTATACTGTAATACTTTGTTATATCCATTTGTATATAATAGGTCAACAGCTACTGTACTTAAAATAGTTCTGGATGGTCTTGCAAATCTAATAAAGGTATATGAGAAATTTCATCATAATGATCCAGGATTCTAAAGGTGTCATGCAAAATGTTGTAAATAAATATGCTACTTCATACAGCACATACATGTCAACAGTATTATTGTTTCCAAGGTAAGTCATACAGGGTAAATTAAACTAACCACTTGACTAAAAACACAGGGATGTCTCTTCTAAATTTACCTGTCAAAAGAAGGAAATATAATTACCAGATTTGGTTGGTAGCTTTTCTGGGACGCCAGATGGTTTGGATCTTGAAGAAACAAACTGTGTTTCATCAAAAGCTGAAAAGAGAATCTGAATTTAAAATGTTGAGGGACTTCAGAGCTGATGGGACAGCATGGCACTCAGCTACAGCCAAGTTGCACATTTCAAGATGATGCTGACACAGGGGAAAGCAAGATGGTGGATGGGCTGAAAGTCAGCTGTGAGATGAATGTGTAACATGAACAATGAGGTTGGTGACAATATGTCCTTTTAGCAGCCAGCCATTAAATCAGTTCAGAAAATGCTTTTCAGGTGATGATTATGAGGAAACGGTTGATACAGAAGGATCAATCAAAAAGTTTTGCATGTGGGGTTTTGAAGCCAAAGTGTTTGAGCAAATCTTAAAACTGTCTTTAGCAGATAGAAGATATGCCAAGATGATGGAAAAAATAACTGAATCATATACGATTTACCCATCACTGTCCCTGGGGTTTTCGTGGAAGGAAAAGATGTAGATTTCAGGGCTGGTTTCTTGGTAGCTAAGAGCAAACATGAAAACAATCCTGAGATATTGGGATAGGCATTCTTTGCACAAGTGGTACCAATTCATAGCTTTAAAACAGAAAAAACAAGTCCATATTTGGTTTGAGGGTTTTTTGTGTTTGTTTGTTTTAAATCATTTGAGTTTTTGAGAAGATCTGAACTCCTATTGGGGTTTATGAAAAAAATCCAAATATTTGATTTGGGCTCATTTTTTAATGAGGATGACATAAATATATGTTAAAATTGGAACTAATAAACTAAACTGTTTTCTGTTTCATACAGTAGTTGTCTGCTTCCACATCTATTTTCAATCAGATTCTGAATGACTCATTTTATCAGCGGATATGTCTCCATGTTACCACCCTGATCAGCAGAGAGGGGAATAGTGATCTTGGACAGTATGCAAACAAATACCACATGATTCACAGCTGTTGGCAGCAGGACTTTTATTAATTGTATTTATACACAGTAAGAACCATGTGATATTTCCCAAAAGTATCACACTAAACTGCAGGTGTATAAAAAAGCTGTCTTTTTAAAAAAGTTAAAATTCAAAGTAAATTGGCCATCCACAAAGTTTCTAAATTTAAAAGATGCCTCTCTGTGGTGTAATCCAAACACAAAAATAAATAAGAAAAAACATTCTGGGGAAAAGTAGGAAAAAATTTAGGTAAAACACAACTAAAGATATATTTACAGAAACTAAATTTTACTCTATTTGCTGATCTGAGGAGAGATCTGACACATTCTTGATTCAATTAATATAAACCCCACTTACTAAAATGTAACTTTTTTTTAAAAAATGTAACATTTTAAAAAGCATTTTAGAAGATATTCACTCGAAACAACAAGTCAGATACTGTGCAGAAAAGTAACATGGTATCATAGACCTTGTAAGTGTACTGGCCTCTCTGAGAGTATGGGACGTTTCCCATTTATTTCAGGCAGAATGAAGCCAAACTAATACATTTGAAGAAGAGATTCACAAGAATCATGCTCAAGGTTTGGAAAATCCGGGCTAAAGGACCTTGGTATTCAAATTCTATAGACTGGAACACAGTGTCGAGAGCTATAACAAAAGCATCCAAGCCCCAATCCTGCAAAGTTATTCAGGTGAAAAGCCCTTAGCAACCACATGTAATGGCACTGACTTCATCTGGTATGTCTACACTCAGGGGTGCTGGAACAATTTGTATAGTGGGGGTGCTGAGAACCACTGAACGAAGCTGTAAGCCCTGCATATGATGGAAACCAATTCAAGCTGGGGGTGCGGAGCACCCGCAATTCCAGCACCTATGTCTACACTGTGATGAAAAATCCCGTTGTACCATGTCTCAAAGCCTGGATCAGCTGACTTGGGCTCCCAGGTTCGGGCTGTGGGGATAAGAATTGCAGTGTAGACATTTGGGCTTGAGCTGAAGCCCAGCCTCTGAGACCTTCCCCCCTCTCAGGGTCTCAGAGCCCAGGGTTCCAGTTCAAGCTTGAATGGCTACACTGCAATTTTATCGCCCTGCAGCTTGAGCCCAAGTCAACTGACCTGGGCCAGCCTTAGCTACGGGCCTTTTTTTGCTGCGTAGATGAGTAGTGCCCAATGCGATTCTGACTGTGTGGATCTCCCTCCCGAAACCAGGGCCCAAACCAGAATAATTAAATCACACTTCATGCTATGTGGTCTCATTGCAAGACCTCAAAAGTACAATTTAGAGCTAACCCAAACAAATTACGTGAATGAAATGCTAGCCTTGCCAGTCTATCACTATTCCATTTTTTTACCTTTATTTATGGAAAGCAGGTGTGGGATTAGATTATTAATAGTAGTATTATCCCTAATAATTTTGAAGTCGGTAGCTATATTTCAACAAACCAAGTTCTTAAATATTACTGAATATCCTCTCTCTTTAATACAGACTTTAATGGCTTTTCTAGGCGTACAACTAGTTCATGGGAAGATGGGGTGTAAATCTACCTCGTGCTAGCCTGCCATGCACTAACTGTTCATATGGACCCTGAAGTTGCTCACTAAAACTTTCCTATGCACTTTGATCTAACCCACTTTGAAATGAGAATAGATCTAAGTGCACTAGGGAACTTTTAGGGCAGGGTCCACACATATGGTGCGCAGCACGCCAGCGTGAAGTAGATTTACACCCAGCTTGCTGTGCACTAACTGCTCATCAAGATGAGCCCTAACTGTATCTTACTGGATCTCTTCCACTACAATAGAAATAGATGGCTATGTTCATTCCATAGGGGAGAGAGCTGCTGGCCTCCAGGCAAATCCAGAAATGCTGTGAGAAATTATAATAAATCAGAGACAAATTCTAAAATCCATACGAAATTCTACTCAGTCCAAACTCACACTGAAGTCTATGGGAGTTTACTTAAGTAAAAATTTCAATATTAGGGACTTCTTTTGCATGAACTGAAAAGTACATGCTCTAGATAAACTGCCACTATCACATGACAGGCTGTAGTAGGATTTAGTGCAAGAATTAACTGAATCAGTACTGTCTCAGGGGAAAGAATACTGCTTACCTCACCCGAGTGTTAACTAAGCCTGATCATACTTAAGCAATGAAATTCAAGTTCACAGCATTACAATGGGGTCTTCTGAGTTCATCTTATCTATAAACTTGCGAGTTAGAATTTAGTTGTGAAATCAGTGAAGAAAAAATATGCTCTGGCACAAATTCAAAATAAAAGATTAAAATAATATAAGTCAAAAAAATCAATAAATAAATATGCTGTAACTCTTGTTAATAATCATTAGACTTTTTCACTAAAATATTAGTGAGGTTCACTAGCTCACTACTCTAATACCTTAGCATGGGCAAGGATAGTTTCCACTGGATTCAATGGGAACCACACAAATGCATCCATGGACAAAATTATGCCCTACAGCAAATGTGGAAGGGTTGTCAGGTTCTCAAGCACAACAGAAGTGCTATGGCCTAAGGGTAAAAAAAATCAACTGCCAATTCTGGGTACCCAGCTGGAGACATATTAAAGGGGACTGATGATCAAAGGGTGAGCCCTCAACACTTTATGAAAATCAGGCCCTTTTAAAGTGTCCAACAGTTGAAGCAACACAAATAACTATTCACATTTGAAAATTTAGGCCATAGGTACATCTCTAACAAGAAGAGGCTAATAACTTCACTAGACAAATCAACTATTTAACAAAGTCATTACACAGTCCACAACTTTGCTGTTGGATGGAATGACAGTTCAGCTGTGAGATACAAGCCATCTCTGAAACTGAAGGGGCATTTACAAGGAAAATACTAAGCCCGTGGAACAGATCTTTCACAAATATAAGTTTTTATAGCTCTACTAACTTAAAGGGAGCTGTGACAATTTACACGAGTTTAGGATATTCTCTACATCTTCACAATTCTTCTAAAAACATTTGTAAGTAAATAATTTTGAGCATCATGTCACTAAAATCAAAACAAGACTTATGTGGAGTCACAATTTTGCAGTAGAAAAATTTCCTGGCTGTAGCATTATAAATCATACAACCACATTATTGTATCTGAGGTATTAAAACCACAAAACCCACCTGGGCATAATACCAACAAATCTGACTCAAATAATATTTGTTTCGAAGCTCTCAACTTTAGAAATAAGGCAATTAACGGGTTTTGTCTGTAGTATTTTTGGCGTATCAGATATTTTGGATCCAGAGGGAATCAGCTGCATTTCATTAGAAGCTATGATAAAAGAAATAACCAGGTCTTTATTTGCTATGGGTCATTGGGAAAACATGGCACAGAATTATTCCAGCACACAGAAAATGCATGCCTGAAGCCAGCAATATAAGAATAGGCTGACCACTGAGATACAGTTTCATAAATAATGGAAAGAAACATTGTGGAAAGACAGAAAGGAGATTGGAACATGAATATTCTCAGCTCTGTCCTGAACCGTCATATGAAGAATCACCTGTCTAAGGAAGACAGAAATAAATATCCAACAATGAAAGTTTATCTGCTTTGTAGTTAAGCAAAGACAACCATGATTTAGTTCTCATAAAAGCATCCTCTAAAGCAGTGCAGCCAAACAAAGTTAACCTTGCCAAAGAAACTGCAAAGGAAAAAATGGGATTAAAATAAGCTGCAAACAAAACAAAACAAAAACATCACCATGACATAATGTTCCCCTGGGCTTCTGAAATGCAGGAGGTGTTTTAGGGTTAGGAAATTCTGGAAGCCTGTTTGGAACTGCAAGGGGGGTGGGGAGAAAAGAGAAAGTACAAAATTGATGTGAGTCAGTAGAAATCTGAAGAAAAAAAAAGTGTTTGTTAACACTTGCGGTTCTCTTTGTATAGTGTAACAGAGACAGAAACAAAAAGACCCTTGTCCCTACATTCCAGTGCTGGTGAATTCAATACAACCTTTTCTTTTATTACTCACCTATATACCTACTAAGTACACAGTTGCATACATCATTCCATGACTATTCATGTCTGCGCCCCTCTCTGGAAAATGAGGCCAAATTTTCAAAAACTACCTCTGGACTTTTGTTCACCATTTTGCATAGATTTGTGTGTACAATACAGAGAGTGAATTTAACATTTTGACATTTCTTAATGTAGAATTGTGACTGCAAGAAGACTGTGGATGCTGCTACTAACAACAAAACAAAAATGAGAGCAATTGTTAATGGAGAAAACACATTTTGCAATACAAAGTTTGTGACCAGGATTTTGTATAGGACACTATTTTTTTCCTGGAGAAAAAAAAAAAGACTTCATGCCACGTTAAGCCTCAGTGAGTCATGACAGTCATACAAATGACATTTGTATTTTAAATGACAATTTGATGCCATCAGACAATCTTCCTTGAGTTTTTGATGTTTTGAGTATTTATACATTTAAATAATCAGTTTTGTAATATAACACAACCTGTGTAACCTGTCAACAGGAGACTAAAGATCATTTCTAACTTCACCTATGTAGATTTGCATTGCTTTTACCTTGAAAAGCTGTTTTTGTGATTTTTTCCCCCCCATGCTAAAAGTGAGGGCCATTAAAAATGGAGCACATGCCATTCTGCAGAGATGTCAGAAGCATAGCATCTCTTATTCTAAATATAGGGAGATACTCCTGTTACTGAAGGAATCCAGTGAGGTGAATTTATTATTTTAATGGCACCTACTGTGCATAATAATGTTACAGTACCTGTGGTTTACAGTGAAAATTTGTTTCCATGTTGTAAGTAATGTATTACCAAGGAGGATTTCCTTGAAGAAGGATCTTGAGAGAAAACCAAGGAGCTGGACGTTTCTCTTGTATCTCTACAGCAATATTACTAGTGCTACACCTGGTTACAGACATCAAGAGACATACAGACAACCCAGAATTCAGTAAAGGGCAGGACAGAATATTACTTTGAATATGAGAATACCTGGTATACCTATCAAGAAAACTTTACCAGAGACTATCAGCTCACAACACCAGCCATAGCACAGCTAGGCCTAGACAGCCGTCTGTACTACATTTTATCTGAGATATATAAATTAGTAGCTGTAAATGTAAAGTAACCCAGTAAAATTTAATTAAGATTTTCTTTGGAACAGCTCGCTTCTAAAGTGTTGTAGTAAAAGGTAGGAGAATTCTGGAGTGGAAAAAAGAAGGAAATACTACATATAGAAGATAAGTAGTCATCAGATTAGTTACCCGGTATGTTTTGAGTTTGTGCCCGGTCAGGTTTAGGAATTGATTTTGTTTCTTCAAGTCCACTGTCAGTTTCACTGTGAGCTGGAAAAAAGAATCTAGACTTAATTTTGAATCAAGAACATAACAGCAGCCATACTGGGTCAGACCAATGATCCATCTAGCCTAATTTCCTGTCTTCTGACTGTGGCCAATGCCAGGTGCTTCAGAGGGAATGAACAAAACAGGCAATCATCAAGTGATCCATCCCCTTTCGTCCACTCCTAGATCCTGGCCAGCACAGGCTAGGGACACTCAGAGCAGGGTGTTGCAGCCCTGACCATCCTGGCTAATAGCCATTGATGGACCTATCCTCCATGAACTTCTCTAGTTCTTTTTTGAACTCTGTTATAGTCTTGGCCTTCACAACATCTTCTGGCAAAGAGTTCCACGGGTTGACTGTGCGTTGTGTGAAGAAGTACTTGTTTTGTTTGTTTTAAACCTGCTGCCTATTAATTTCATTGGGTGACCCCTACTTCTTGTGTTATGTGAAGAAGTAAATAAAGTTTCCTTATTCATTTTCTTCATACCAGTCAAGATTTTATAGACCTCTATCATATCCCCCCCAGTTGTCTCTTTTTCAAGCTGAAAAGTCCCAGTCTTTTTAATCTCTCCTCATATGGAAGCTGCTCCATATCCCTAATAGTTTTAGCTGCCCTTCTCTGTACTTTTCCAATTCCAATATATCTTTTTTGCAATAGGGTGTCCAGATCTACACACAGTATTCAAGATGTACGTTGGGGGAGGGATAGCTCAGTGGTTTGAGCATTGGCCTGCTAAACCCAGGGTTGTGAAGTGCTTGGTCCTGCTAGTGAAGGCAGGGGGCTGGACTCAATGACCTTTCAAGGTCCCTTCCAGTTCTAGGAGATAGGATATCTCTATAAAATAAATCATGGATTTATACAGCAGCATTATGATATTTTCTGTCTTGTTACCTATCCCTTTCCTAATGGTTCCTGACATTCTGTTAGCTTTTTTGACTGCCACTGCACATTGAGTGGATGTTTTCAGAGAAGTATCCACAATGACTCCAAGGTCTCTTTCTAGAGTGGTAACAGCTAATTTAGACCCCATCATTTTGTATGTATAGTTGGGATTATGTTTGTCAGCGTGTATTACTTTGCATATATCAACACTGAATTTCATTTCATTTGCCTTTTTGTTGTCCAATCACCCAGTTTTGTGAGGTCCTTTTGTAACTCTTCGCAGTGTGCTTTGAACTTAACTATCTTGAATAATTTTGTATCGTCTGAAAATTTTGCCACCTCACTGTTTACCCCTTTTCCAGTTCATTTATGACTATGTTGAATAGTACTGGTCCCAGTATAGACCTCTGCGGGACATTACCTCTCTCCATTCTGAAAACTGACCAATTATTCCTACCCCTGGTTTCGTATCTTTTAACCAGATACTGATCTGTAAGAGGACCTTCCCATTTATCCCATGACTGCTTACTTCTTGTAAGATTGTAAGCTTACAAGCAATCCTTGTAAGCCTTTTTTAATTTCAAGACTAAACTTCTTAATAGCCAATTTCCATCCATTTGTTCTTGGGCCAATATTGGCACTTAACTTAAATAACTCCTCCCCCTCCCTTGTATTTATCCCTCTGTTATATTTATTGAGAACAATCACATCTCCCCTCAGCCTTCGTTTTGTTAAGCTAAACAAGCCAAGCTCCTTAAGTCTTCTCTTGTAATGCAGGTTCTCCATTCCTCTGATCATCCTAGTAGCCTTTATCTGCACTTGTTCCAGTTTGAATTCCTCTTTCTTAAACATGAGACACGAGAACTTCACATAGTATTCCAGATGAAGTCTCACCAGTACCTTGTGCAATGGCAACAACTCTTCCTTATCTCTACTGGAAATTCCTTGGCACAAAATCAGAAAGGCTAAGGCACATAATGAGTTACATCTAACATAAAGGGGACATAAAAGGCAAGAAGAAGAAGTTCTTTAAACACATTAGGAGCAAAAGAAAGAACAAGGAAAGTGTAGATCCTCTGCTTAGTGGGGAAGGAGAGCTAATAATTGATGATGTCAAGAAAGCAGAGGTGTTTAATACTTATTTTCACTTAAAAGGGTATGAGGGTGACCAGATGCTCAACACAATTAACAATAAGGGAGAAGGAATGCAAGCCAAAATAGGAAAAGAACAGGTTAAAGAATATTGACATAAGTTAGAAGTATTCAAGTCTGCAGGGCCTAATGAAATTCATCCTACGGTACTTAAGGAGCTAGCTGAAGCAATCCTGGAATCATTAGAAGTTATCTTTGAAAACTCATGGAGGATGGATGAGGTCCTAGGGGACTGGAGTAAAGCAAACATAGTACCTATCTTTAAAAAGGGGAACAAAGTGGACATGGGGAATTATAGACCAGTCAGCCAATCTTCGATACCTGAAGAGATACTGGAACGAATTATTAAACAACGTTAGCCCCTAGATGATGATAAAGAATAGCCATCATGGATTTGTCAAGAACAAATCATGCCAAACCAACCTAATTTCCTTCTGCGACAGGGTTACTGGACTAGTGGATAGTGAGGGAAGAAGTCAATGTGATAGATCTTGATCTGATGAGACTTTTGGCACAGTCCCACATCACGTTCTCATAAACAAAGTAGGGAAATGCAATCTAGGTGCAATTTTTATAAGGTGCGTGCACAACTGTTGAAAGACTATATTCAACAAGTAGTTATCAATAGTTTTCTGTCAAACTAGGAAGGTATACCTAATGGGGTCACCCAGGGGCCTGTGCTGGGTCTGATACTAGTCAATATTTTCATTAATGACTTGGATAATGGAGTAGAGAGTATGCTTATGAAATGTGTGGATGACAACAAGCTGGGAGGGGTCCCAAGCACAGGATTAGAATTCAAAATGACCTTGACAAATTGGAGAATTGGTCTGAAATCAACAAGATGAAATTCAATAAAGAGAAGTGCAAAATATTTCATTTAAGGAGGAAAAATCAAGATGGGGAATAACTGCCTAGTGGTAGGTTACAGTGGATGACAAACTGAGTATGAATTAACAATGTAATGCAGTTGCAAAAAAGGCCAGTATCATTCAGCAGTGTATTAACAGCAGTGTTGTATGTAAGACATGGGAGGTAATAGGAGTGCTCTACTCAACACTGGTGAGGCCTCAGCTGGAGTATTGTGTCCAATTCTGGGTGCCACACTTCAGGAAAGATGTCGACAAATTGGAGAGCGTTTAGAGGAGAGCAACAAAAATGATAAAAGGTTTAGAAAACCTAACCTATAAGGAAAGGTTAAAAAAACTGGGCATGTTCAGTCATCAAATATGTAAAGAGCTGTTATAAAGATGACTGATCAATTGTTCTCCATGTCTACTGGAGGTAGGACAAGAAGTAATGGGCTCAATCTGCAGCAAGGGAGATTTAGGTTAAATAGTAGGAAAAACTTTCTAACTACAAAGGTAGTTAAACTCTGGAATAGGTTTCCAAAGGAGGTTGTGGAATCCCTGTTTTAAGAACAGGCTGGACAAATAGTTGTCAAAGGGGCTCTAGGTTTACTTGGCCCTGCCTCAGTGCAGGGAGCTAGACTTGATAACCTTTCAAGGTCTTTTTCAGCCCTACATTTCTATGATTCTATGAAATAATCAATGTGTGCCTTATTTCTAATTTTAATTTGTCTGGCTTCAGCTTCTAACCATTGGTTTTTGTTAATACTTTCTTTGCTAGATTAAAGAGTGCTTTAATTTCCAGTATTTTCTCGCCATAAAGGTACTTACATACAGTAATCAAGTCATCTCTCAAACTTCTTTTTGATAAATTAAAAGAGATCCTAGCATTCTGTGCCACTGTACATTTAAAAGAAAATGAAGGTTTCATACAGAGCAGCTGCTCAGATGCCACAAAGGCCTCCGAAGCAGCAGCAACTGGAGGACTTCACTGAACAGCTGGTACCCACAGTAGAGCACTGAGGGCGACTTTCAAAATGCCCTTATTAGCTGCCACAGATAGAACTAAGGCATGTTGCAGTGGTCCACCTACTTTTTTTTTTTAAATCTGGAGTAGTCATTGTACAGAACTGTTTTCAGCCAGAACACAGACTCACAATAATGCTCCATTTTGCATTGTAATGTGCTTCTGTTTTGTGGCCAGTGGTAAAGAACTAGAATTTGTCTCAGTATCACTGTCAGCAATGAGACAGCTGGAGAGATGATCTTTATTTACAGCACTTACAAAAGTTAAAATAACAATTCAGCCAATCAGAATTCATCATATTGATCACTAATATATATCATACAGTCTAAAAAATAAAAAAAAAGTGTTTATTTCTGGCAGTTCAGGCTTCTGATTAGTGAAATACTGAATTTTTTCTTTTTCTCTTTTGAAGGGCCTGTAGATGCCAATCACCACCAGCACAAGGTGCTGGAAAGTGACAGTCTCAGCTTCAGAAAATGAGGGTTCAATCTTACTCCTACAGATTTCAATCGGAGCAGGGCTGTGCCCTCAGTAAAATGGCAACCATGATGGTGCTGAAAAGAGCATTAATTCTCTTCAGGGACAGCATTATACTACACCACATGTGTAGATTTTCAGGAAATGTCTTTATATTGTTTTATTTTCACTTGAAATAAATAAATGTATGCAGCAATATTCTAAGAGACTAATGAGAACAACAGGTAAAAGAGATTGCCATAAGAGCAGCAATTTGCATTTCATAATTTGGAGATATTACTTTATCTTTTTATTGGACCATGAATTATTCAAGGCAATTTGAACATTTAAGTTGGGGTTTGTTTTTTAAAGGCACTACAAAGTATTAAAGTAAATTGCTAGATTTTCAAGTTATATTTATTAGGCCTATTACACACAATATTATGCAGCCTATTGCAAAAGCTTTTTTTTTTTAATACCACATCTGTGAAAAAGAGAGATTTCATTAAGGCAGTCTTTGGTAGCCCTCACTCTACAACGAAAGTAGCATAAACATAGTACTGACCCAGTGTGTTCAATGGTAATTCAGTCGTAGGTGCTATGCTAGGTTCTGCGGATTCCAGTTCATTTTTACTGTGAGCTATGAGAAAAAAAAGAGTTATTTTTTTCTTTCAGTACACATTCACTTTACACTTTGTCCACAACACGCTAAGCATGCTTCAAGCCAGAACTGACCAGACTGGTTTAACAGCTGTAACATCTCATTTCATGAAGGTAGCATGCTATATGATGGGGTCTAAAATGGCTGATACCACTCAAGAAAGAGATCTTGGAGTCATTGTGGATAGTTCTCTGAAAACAATGTGCAGCGGCAGTCAAAAAAGCGAACAGAATGTTGGGAATCATTAAGACAGGGATAGATAATAAGACAGATAATATCATATTGCCTCTATATAAATCCATGATATGCCCACATCTTGAATACTGTGTGCAGATGTGGTCGCCCCATCTCAAAAAAGATATATTGGAATTGGAAAAGGTTCAGAAATGGGCAACAAAAATGATTAGAGGTCTGGAATGACTTCCGTATGAGGAGAGATTAATATGACTAGGATTTTTCAGCTTGGAAAAGAGACTAAGGGGGGGATATGATAGAGGTCTATAAAATCATGACTTACGTGGAGAAAGTAAATAAGGAAGTGTTATTTACTTCTTCTCATAACACAAGAACTAGGGGTCACCAAATGAAATTATTAGGCAGCAGGTTTAAAACAAACAAAAGGAAGTATTTCTTCACACAATGCAGTCAACCTGTGGAACTCCTTGAGAGAGGATGTTGTGAAGGCCAAGTCTATGACAGAGTTGAAAAAACAACTAGATAAGTTCATGGAGGATAGGTCCATCAATGGCTATTAGCCAGGATGGACAGGGATGGTGTCCCTAGCATCTGTTTGCCAGAAGCTGGGGGATGGATCACTTGATGATTACCTTTTCTTTTCATTCCCTCTGGGGCACCTGGCATTATTTCACCCCTGAGGCCCAAACAGTTACATGGCCATTATAAAAACTAAATCTTTGGATGTTTTCTGCTGTGGAATGGAAACCAATGCCAGAAAACCAGATATTGCAACACATGCTGCTTCTTTAGGACCCAACTCAACTTCCACCAAAGTCAGCAGAAGTGTTGCAACTGACACAAGTGGAAGATGGGCTGGGGGTCCTTACAGAGAATCAAATCAAGCAAGTTAGCTTTCTGAAAGCTTGTGACAAAAAGTCATTGACAAGGGATAGAAAGACAATTTTTAAAAAAAAGAACCACTGTACTTTTCTGTCGTACTTCAAAGGTTAGCCTGTCACATGGTTCAAAAGTAATCATAAAAAAAGGACAAAACACACAGAATTCATGGGGGTGTTTTTTGTTGTTGGTTTTTTTTTAAAGGGGTCAGCTGTTTTGCCTTTTCATATGATATCTGAATCTGGCAGTCAAGTTAGCGGAACCATGTACATAATAAAAGAAGACATTTCAGGTTTGTCCACAATTAGAATAAAAGAAAACAGGCTATTTGATGTTTTTTATTGCATGCAGCAGAGACTCAGGCCATTGTTGTAATAAAAGGAGTTCAGGGAGCAGTAAGCTTAAGGGTTAAAATTAACATGGAGAAAAAGATGGTTTTACCTGGAGATGCCTCTGATTTCTCTGAGGCAGCAGACACGGTAGGTTTAATGCTTTCCTGAACTGATTCAAGGGTAGCTACAAAGCAAAAGGTTAACACAATTGAGTGAGATAAGGCTGCTTAATGTCATGGCATGCAAGGCAGCAAGAATGGGTTTAAGAGTCAAAGGATTTATCAATCACTAAATTCCTGGATAGTAAAACCTGACGTGGAATTACAGTGGTGGCTCTAAAGAAACTCTTTACACACTTTAGCAAGTTTTGCACCAAGATTTTAATGCATTTTCTATTATAAGTACAAGGCAAGTGCAGAGGACTACTGCAGACTGAAATAACCTACCTATTTATCTTTGAAATAATGGCAAATATAATTTCTTTTGAATAACGTACATAATGAATTCCTGGATGCAGAGTGGTTTGTGGGTTTTTTGTATAACCCCTTTGCTAGAATTCCTCTTTGTGGCAGAAAGGCATTCAGCAATAAGGGCGTGTGTTTAGTGGTCAGAGCAGGGGAGATTTATGTCCAGAAGCTTTTGTGATAACTCACTGTGAAACATGGGCAAGTTGCTAAACTGTTCGGTGCCTCAGTTATACTATCTGTAAAATAGTGATAAAAATACTTACCCACCTCAAGATGTTGCAAGTTTTAGTTAGCACTTTACAAACTTCACAAACAAACACTTTGTATGAAAAATGCCATCTAAGAGCAACATATTATTATTATTCTCACTAGGCTGAAGGTGTTCTGTTGGGTAATTAGACCAAGAACATTTATTAGGAAAGGAGCCTTAAAGAGATTTATTCATATCAAACAGCATATCCACTTTGATAAATTGTCAGCACAACACCTATAACACTCTGTAAACTTACAGAATTGATACATAACTTGTGACGTCATTCATATGCAAAGATTCTGCTAACTGTTGGCTTGATCCACCTCCCATGGAGGTCCATGAAAAGATTCTCACTGACTTCAAGTGGAGTTCAATTGGGACTTAGGAAAGAGAAGAATGTGCTAGTTGTTTGAAAAATGTGAAAGGGTGAGGAGACATAAGACAGCATTAAGAAATATGGGTTGTAGTGTTAAGAGAAAAAAAATTCCCAAGTGGAAAATACTGAGAAATGAGGGATGGAAGAGATCAGATCATAGAACAGTCTCTCTATGGCATCTCAGACCAAAGGGGAAGAGAGATGCAAATGAGAAAATGGTGGGATGCCTGGCTGCCAAAAACACTGAAAAACGCTAACCCTTCTGGTAGAATAGCATTTTTAGTTGTGATGACTAAAATCTGAACCAAAAATACAAACAAAAATCAAGGAGCTAACAAAACAGGTACTACACAACTCAGTTATCCTGCTTATTGTTATATCCCATCCCTCACCCTTCATTTGTTCGTTGTCTATTTAGATTACAAGATGTTTGGCAAGGATATTATCTTCATTGTACATGTTTCCATAGCTTGTAAAACACTGTTGGCAATACACAATAAAAAGTCCATAAAAGTAAAATATAAATATAACCACCTCTAAGATGGATGACAGTAGTTAATATATGGCACACTGTACAATGTTGGGAAAAGGCAGTGTTTTATATTTAGTACACATACACAAACATACGTAGTCTATATATAAAGCATCAATATGAGAGTGTAGCACTGAACGTGAAATGATGGATTTCTTGAACTGTGTTCTTATGACTTTTTTTTTTTTTTTTTTTTTTGGACACTCACAATTTTCATGGTCAAGGACCTATACAAAGGATTACTCAACATTTTAACTTTGACCTACCCCATACAGCAAGTTAGTTTCCTATGGGTATAGTGTGCTTCAGAGAGCACTATACCTTTGTCCTATAACACAACAGCTTTTAATCACTGATTAAAGTAAGCATTTATCACGGTCAGTTTCAGCTTCACAAGAGAATACACAAAAGAAGTTAGACAAATATTTAGGTATTTTTTAAAAAGTTGAACATGAGGGAATCAGAACTGAAATTCTTGCTTGAATGCACAATAATTCAAGTAAATATTAACTGTGCTAGACAGAAATGCCATACAAGGAACATTGGCATATCACTTCAAAGGATTTTTTTTAAACTATAATGCTAGCAACATAGAGAAGTATACATTGTTGAACAGAAACAATGACACAAACAGAAGGTGGGACTACTTGACCATTTGTGATGCTAGTGTTCTGAACTCGAAAGATATCTGAAAAGAATGATCACTGCACAAAGAAAAAAATATGGAAGCAGCCCTCAAGGTGAACTATGAAAATATGAAAATACATAAAATATTTTAGTAAATAAATATAGAGAATGTAATGATAATAATAGAAAAGTTTAACAATGTCTTTATTTGGAGCAAATGAACATACAGTCAGCATTTGCCAACAGTTAACAACTAATTGTATTCGAAATACCACATTATCCTTCTATTCTTAAATTAGGAAATAACTAATAATTCTGTGGTATTTGTTAGCAAATGATGGTTGGTTTTTTTTTTTTTTTTTTTTTTTTTTTCATTTCTGTACAGTAGATAAGTATACACAACTGCTGGATGTAAACAGGGGGAAAAAATGAACAGAGGAAATGAAGCATTGGCATATATGTGAGCTGCATGCCTATCTGCTTATGCAAGACAACATGGGTGAAAGCCATGCATAGGATTTGATTTAAAAGACAAAGGAATTTAAGTGGATGCAGCTGAGGTTGTTTGAGAGAGAGAGAGAGAGAGAGAGAGAGAGAGAGAGCGCTATTCTTTGAGTCACTAGGAAAGGTTCAATAAGGAATAGTGGAATATATTTACCATGATATAATATCAGAGGGGTAGCCATGTTAGTCTGAATCTGTAAAAAGCAACAGAGGGTCCTGTGGCACCTTTAAGACTAACAGACAAGTTAGTCTTAAAGGTGCCACAGGACCCTCTGTTGCTTTTTACATGATATAATAGCTAGCAAAGATGCAAATCATCTGAAACCCCTCAGTAGCTGCACACAAGATGCATGACTTTTCATACGCTGACTCAAAAATTGAGTATCTACAAAGTTGTGATATTTTTGGAACCCCTCCCCCTCCCACTGAATTATAAAACTGGAGATCTATGACACTGTTGTAAGAAGGGATCTTCATGTGATAGGAAGTTGTTGAAGATCTCATGATTTTTAAAGATCAAAAGTAGAAACGGTCTATCAATCAGCCTGTTAGATAGCAAGATGTGCATCTGATAAGCACATAAAAAAGACGTAGATAAGGATTTTATCCTATGATGCTCAAAATTGTCAGCACAAAATATACACCATGGAAAGTTTAACTGTTTAAAAATTACCTGTTGAACTAATTATTTCAAAGTTAAATGACTGCTGAAGTATTCCAGTATTAAGAATGACAACAACAGTAAATAAAGTTAAAAAAAATCTGCTGTCACTTGGTTAAAAATAGAAATGGGCAAGTATTTTGTGACAAATAATTTGAGAATCTTTCACTTCTTTTCTGTTCATGGGTCATTTTTAATACAGATCAATTATTCCTGAATGTATTTATTATTCAAAATTATTTATCAAATAATTTCTATGAATAATTCTGAGTCTAGCTTGTTCACAAAATTGTAGCCAGTTTTCAGTTCTCTACATCTGAGATGTCTTGATGGGAAACACAAGACCACTTTTTTTGTCCTGTTCCCTGATTGGATACATATAAATCTCAGGACCAAGTCTCCAGATCCAATAAATACGTATAGATTTGAGAAAGTAAATTTTCTCTAAATATTTGCAATATGCATTTATAAGTTATTTCTGCAATAACTCTGGCTATTGAACTCATTTACTAAAATATCTGTGAAAAGTGAGTACAAAAAGGGACAAAACAGTAAATTATTTTAAAAAGAATAGTCACTGAATATTTTTTATGCATCCAACTCTAGTTAAAATCAAGTGTTCAGTATCCGTACCCTGAACGGCTATGGTTAATGCCTATGTGCAGAAGTGTCCTACTTTTCCTTCCAGCACGTTAGGATGAATATAAAGAATAACTGAAAAGCAGACTTCTCGGTCACAGTTCAGACTGGAATTTGGCAATAGTCTTACCTGGAGGTTGTAGAATAAGAAATCTGCAAACACTTTTAGAGACTAAAAGATAATAGTTTCATCCAGAAGACAGTTGGCAATCCTTACACATTTTTTCTGCATTACTACATCCTAAATTTCTTTTGTTCCCTACATACTCTCCAGAAGTACAAAAGTCTGGTGAACCACTCAATTTTGAATCTCCATACTGGACTGACTTGAGTTGTAGCTAGTCCAAGGAATTTATTGTCCATAATATTCAACATACTGTTATAGAAATTATTTGTTAAAAGTCCCACAAGATAAACTGAATTTTTAACTTCAATAAATGGGTCTGCTCTATTCTCAAGTCATTTACTGGGTCAGAAATTTTAAGTGGAGAATAGAAACTATGTCTTCATGAGAATAAAGATAGAGATCTTTAAAAAATAATGAAAATTGAGCTAGTCTGATCAGTTGTAAAATGGTGCTTCTTTGATGTACTCTGGTATACAACAAGCACAGTGAGATTTAAGGGCCGAATTCTGTGCCTTTTACTCATGCAAGTACTTCCATTCATTTGAAGTCAATCAGCAAGACAAGCAGGATTTGGCCATATATTCTGCTTCGTCAATAAGAACAAAGCGGAATAGTGACAACAAGACTATACACTAACTAAATTAAACCAAAGCAAAATCTTCTTCAAACAATTACTTTTCTAAACTTCTCATTCATTTCAATGCTTCTGTCATGGCTCTTTTGTAGCCCAGGTCTGCACCAATGAAGTCAATGGGAGTTTTGCAACTGACTCTAATGGGAGAAGAATCAGGCCCTTCTTCAGTTATAAAAACAGACCAGATAATGTGAAAGAGGTATAGTTTTATTGTAATGCTGTGGGATCTTAGAGAGTAGATCCATACACAATAAAATGAAATTATATTCCCCATTATTTAACACTAGAAACACAATCCCGCCCAAGCCTCGATCCTGTGGGAGTGTACATACAAATGCCAGGGCCAGCTCCAGGGTTTTTGCTG